TTAGTTCAAATGTTCGTGACAACATTTTTTTTACGTCAATAAAGCTATTTTTTGTGAAGATAGAGTCGAATCAAAAAGGGTGGTTCATCTCTCCCGGAATTACTCTATTAGCATAAACATTGTTCGATTTAATTGAGAACTTCAATAAAATTTACGGTTTCTTCGTAAAATTCCCGGAGTTGCTTGGGAAATAATGAGGTGGGTGCATTCCACCCGCACCCTATACCGAGAAACTTCTTAATCGAACGGCTTCTCCAGACCTCAATCCGGTTTCATCGGCATTCCAGAAGCGAATCTGGTCTTCGGGCGACAAATGTAATCCAGCGCGGCAACGCGATGGGAATTTTAAGTCCGTATTTGGACCAGCACCGGCGAATTCGCAAAGTTTTGAGTTTTACCGTTTAAATTGCATTCGAAGATGAACGATTATTTATCTACAATTGACAGGGCACGAGCTTTAATTTACATTAAATCTGCGTCTATTTGCACCGATTCCATAAAGGAAACAAAGAAGTCGTAAAATTCAACCCACTGCGACTATTTAAATTGCCCTTCTGTCTGAATTTGTGTAGTTTGTGTGCTATTGCCTATTTACAAATTCTCTGCTAATTGATTGTCTTAACATTTGTTATATCGTATCGGAGTTGTATAGAGAGATTTAATTAGAATGGGAAATAAGGCAAACGAGGACGCTGTTTCTGCTATTAAAGTGGCTGTCGCCTTTACCTTACTCTCTAATCTAGAATGATGGCTTATTGTCAGTTTACATCCATACATACAGTTAAATCATATTTTTATTATTTTATATCATAAATTGTTGTTTGCAATTCAAAGAATGTGCAAATGTGCCTCACGTGTAGATGTAAAAAACTAATTAAAATTGCAAAATATCAACTTAGGTCAATACTATTTTTTGCTTTAAAAATGATTGATTTCATACTTTTTAAAAAAAATTCAAAACAACATGTTTTCGTCGTAAGCGGAACAACCGATTTGGGTATTAAACTCCAGCTTTGAGAAAGACCGAAATAAACGGCAGAAACTTCTGACATTTTTCGAAAATTATAGGATTTGTTATCTTGCCCCAAGCTCGCTATCCAAACATATTTTGGGTTGATGTTTTTTTTTTGATTTTACGTTTGAGGTACTAAGTCCAATCTCAATCTCGGACTGACTACATTTTTTTGCAATTAATAACGGTGCGGCCTTTATTTGGCTGGAAAGTCTTTTCAGAATATTCAGATGCATGATTAGAGAGCAATATTTTTTGTAATCATAATTGGGTTTGCATAAAGTGTATCCTTTCGAGTTGTTCGATAGTGTACCTTGTCTCACCACAGGGTGAGCAGATTTCTGTTTTTAGCTATTCCTATGTTAAGTTGGCAACTCTGTAAAATTAGGCCTAATGAAGAAGGGGCTGTGAGAGAGAGAGGTTATCGGCCATTTTTGACTATCGCCAGCATCTTTTCTGTAACACTTGTATCGCCAAATATACTTCCCAAAAGCATCCGTACAATAAAAAACTATCAAGCAAAAACGCAGTGCTCATTATTCACAACGGCATAAAATAAGCCAGAATAATCA